TGTTGAAATCCTAACCTTTGGTGGTTTAGAATGTGAGCTTATTTAGAAATAGGTTGTGAAGTGTAACTAATATAGTTAAAAGGAAGTGCTAGTGGAATATAGTGGAAGCCTAATCTGATATAACTGGTTACCTCATGAAAAGAAGAAGTTTGGACATAGAGCAAGCATACAATATGCACAGCAAATACATACACCCCTAACAGTGCACACACACACACACACACACAAAACACAAACACCACATAACAAACACAGAAAGTATATATACACACCACAAGGAACATATACACTTAGCCTACACATCAAGCACACACATATACATGCACCAATACCACACAACACAAAAACTATACATAGCACACACACACACACATACACACACAAATGCCACTATTTTACAATGAAGACAAATACTGGGTCAACACATCCATAAACAAAGAAGTGCCAAGAATTTCCAGTATCTGGGGTTGGTGGTATTAGAAAAGGGGAAGATAGACTCAGTTAGAAGAACATAGTCTTCTTTGAAGGAACTAACCCTCAATTTCAGACTTCCAGTAAAGTTAAGTTTAGATCATGCAGTCTACGTCAAGTTCACAGACTGATGTGCCCTTAGATTGGCAGACCTTAGAAGGCTGGATGACCCTGGAGTGTATGGGGGAGGTACAGCGACCCTCATAGAAGGCTGGATGACCCTGGAGTGTATGGGGGAGGTACAGCGACCCTCATTCTGCTGGAAGAGAAGAAGCTTGTGTGTTACTATTTATTTCAACAATAATGATAACAACAATAAATAATAATAATAATAGGGTATATGTGTGTATGGACATATTTGCGCCAAGGTCCATATGTGGAGGTCAAAGGGAAACTTGATGGAGTTGGTTCTTTTTGTCCAACTTTAAATTGGTTCTGCAGATCAAATCCAGGTCCTTGGGTTTGCATGCCAAGTGCCCTTACCCACTGAGCTAGGGATTGGATGCAGGTCACCTGGCTTGGCAGCAAACACTTTTACCTACTGAATCATCGGTCAGCCTCCAGCGTGTATCAGTTTTTAAATGAAATTTAACATCAAGTGAAGTAGACTTAACAGTTTGGATTACCAGGAGGTAATTCTCTCCTGGGTACATAAACTGTGTTTAGCATACTGGTGTGCCATTTCATTCAACCATTTCAACCATGGGTTGCACATGCAATGGTGGTCCTATAAGATTATAATAGAGCTGAGACATCCCTATTGACTATTGAAATTAGTCATTGTAATTTGGTGACTCAGTGTATTCTCATTTTAATAGATCTACTGCACTGGTGATCACACAATAGTATAGCATGTACCCTTACTTTGTATAGTTAGAACAATTCTTTGTGGTAATCCACCACCTCTGGCTCTTATAAACTTTCTGCCCCCTCTTCCATGATGGTTTCTGAGCCTTTGGAGGAAGGGATGTGATATAGCTATTTTTGTTTTTTTACTTTAAAAATTACATTGCAACACAATGGATTTCATGATATCTGTATACAAATGTATCACATACTTTGCTCATATTTACCTTCATTACTTTCTCTAGCCATCTCTTACTGGCTCCATTCCTCCTCCAAATGGTTTCCCTTCAACTTTCAAGTGATTGTATATTGAAGAGAGTCTTATATAAGTACATTAATGGTGCGCATAGAGTGATGGCCAATTGTTGCTTACCGTAAAGGCATTTGCCGGAAGCAAAGACCTGTGTTTTGAGACCTGTATTTTGTTTATGCCATCTTAAGTTCACAAGTAAGATATTCACCTTTGCAGGGCAAGTTCCAGACCTAGGAAATTAACCTAGTGAGACCTGCAGGCCCCAGGCTTTAGAAGCAATTAAAGTTCACAGTCACAGACCTCAGTATTTCCTAACCAGCTAGGGATGTCTCCAGACCTAAATTCCAGCATCCTACCTCACCTCCCCCTTGCCAGTTTGTTATATAACAGCTCCTGAGGAATAATAAAATGGGCAGCTTGATCAGAAAGCAAGACTTGCTGTCATGTCTCTTGTCCCCTCCATTCCCTTCTCTTCTAGGTTTGTCAGGAACCCCAGTTCATGTCCCACTTGTCGGGACAGGTATTTGGATATAATCTGTCTGGTTATTCTTGGTAAAGTTGCAGAGCATACTGTGTTAGAAGTAGATAAATGTCCTGCAGATGTATAAGGAGAGGATAAACTCCTAGCATCCAAAGGACAGATGAATGATTTTTACACTACTGTGCAGTTTATAGTACAACATATGGGGCTGGAGGTGTGATTCAGTGGTAGAGTTCCTGCCTAGAACCCCCCAGTGAGGGGCTGAAGGTGTGATTCAGTGGTAGATAATCTGCATAGAATTCCCAGTGAAGGGCTCAGAGTGTGGCTCAGTGATAGAGCTCCTGCTCTAGAATCCCCAGTAAGGGGTGGGGACATGAGTCAGTGGAAGAACACCTGCCTAGAATTCCCCAGTGAGGGGCTGGGATGTGGCTCAGTGGTAGAACTGCTGCCTTAGAATCCCCCAGTGAGGAGCTGGGGTGTGGCTCAGTGGTAGAGCTCCTGCCTAGGACCCCCCAGTGAGGGGCTGGGGCATGGCTCAGGGGTAGACCATTTGCCTAGAATCCCTAGTGAAGGGTGTAGCTGTGACTCAGTGGTAGAACACTGGTCTAGAATTCACAAGTGAGGGTCTGATGATGTGGGTATGTTGTAGAGTGGAGTACCTGTTTAGTATCTGCCAAAGAGATACCACAGATGTGGTTCAACATTAGCAAGCTTTGCTTAAACCTACCAGTAAGGGATGAGGCTGTGGCTCAATGGCTAGAGCACTTACCTAATCTATGAAAGGCCTTGGTTCAGTTTGTAACATTGTAAAAAATAAATAGAGTTCTCAGTAGGGCTGGGGGGGGGACTTAATTGGGGGAGGGGGAGGGAAATGGGAGGCGGTGGCGGGGAAGAGACAGAAATCTTTAATAAATAAATAAATTAAAAAAAATTAATAGAAAAAAATCTTTCAAGACTCATTTTTGATGTATAAGTGGCAAGGTCACCACCAAAGGTGTGCTATGGTTAGAGTGTTATGGCTTCAGCTCCAGGCCCTGCCATGTGTTGACAAGATTCAAGAAGCAGATGCCAAGGCAAACCTTTTCCGACAGAGCTTGCACCACATTGTACTCTCTCCAGCAGGCACACCGGCTCCAACACCACCACATCCTTACAGTATTTGCTGGTTTTCGTTTCTTATCACATATTCTGTAGTAATTTCATACAAGAATACAACATATTAGATCATATCTATCCCCTCTCCTAGAACCCTACCACACAGCCCTCCCAACTTCACGCTTCTCCTTTCTCCATCTTCTCTTCTTAAGATTTATTTTTAATTTATGTGTGCATATGCCACATGTGTGCAGGTATCTGCAGAGGCCATAGGAGGGTGTCAGATTCCACAGAGCTACAGTTATAGGTGGTTGTTAGCCACCCAGTGTAGATGTCTAGATGTGAATTGGGTCCACTGGAAGAGCGGCAAGTACTCTTGATCATGGTCATGTCTTCAGCCACTTTCTCTCCTCCTCCTCTTTCACTTCTTCCTTTCCTCTTCTTTTTTTTAATTTATTTATTTATTAAGGATTTCTGCCTCCTCCCCGCAACCGCTTCCCATTTCCCTCCCCCTTCCCCGATCAAGTCCCCCTCCCTCATCTGCTCGAAGAGCAATCAGGGTTCCCTGACCTGTGGGAAGTCTAAGGACTGCCCACCTCTATCCAGGTCTCGTAAGGTGAGCATCCAAACTGCCTAGGCTCCCACAAATCTCCTAAATCAAATTAGTGCTGCCCATGTACAGAGAGTTGCAGGGCCATCCCCTGAAACATGGACAACCTACAATGGTCAAACCACTGAAGAAAGATGACTTTCCCTCCATCAGCAACCATTACCTGTGTAGCCCACGAGCTGGCTTACCAGGAATGATCTTAACCTGCGTCTGTCTGGAGTGGGAGAACCATGGCGACTCCCTGACTCAGCTTCTTTTTCCCAGCATTCCGTTCTTTTTACTCCGCCTACCTAAGGGTTGGCCTATCAAATGGGTCTAGGCAGTTTCTTTATTAATAAGAAATCACTCCCACATCACACAATAAAGTAACTACCTACATGGCCACTCCATTAGGAGGGAAGGTTTTTTATTGTAAGCTAGTATAGAGAATATCCAGAGTAGAGAGGGAAAGAAACAGACTGGACATGGCAAGGGTTATGGAAGTGGGAATAGCAGAAGATGGCAGAGATACCAAGAAATAGTGGGGGCTGGGGAGAAATCTTGCTGTTATATAGAGAAGAAATGGCTATACAGGAGAAGGGAAGTCTGGGAAGGTGGGAAGGTCCAGGATGCCAGTGTGGGGCGTTTGAAATGTATACTATACTTATGAATAGGGACTGACTGTAGGAGTCTGGAGGCCAGCATGGGCTTTGATATGCAACCATAGGCACATACCAGCAGAGAGCCATATCTCCCTGTGTCAGAGGTAAGGGAGATGACTCCTTTTGCAAGACTGGAACTGTTTCACAAGTTCCTGAGGAATGCTGGCTTTTATCTAGCTACCTTCTATAGTATAGCTCAAGCTGGGCCAAGAGAGTCATACTGCCCAGCCCTCTAGAATTTGGGGAATTGGAGTGTCCTTTAAACCAGACAGTATGAAGTAAGACAAATGAAGTTTGGACCAGCCTTTTCCCAGTGACTACTAGGAATTTTATGGGAGTCTAGGACATGCATCTTGTTCCTGCAGGCAGACAGATGGCTGACATACAGCTGGCAAGAGGAGATAAGTGGTGGCTTCAAGAGCTAACGTGCAAGTCATTCTACTGAGGAGATGGCCCTGTCTTGATGACTCTCAATTAGGAAAGCCGGGGCTTGTAGAATCAGGAAGGAGGGAATTCTTCGCCCCCATCACATCCTGTGCCTATGTTTCAGGCATCTACAACTTCCCTGCTGGGCCACATGGCTCAGGACCAGACTGTAGAACCATGTCTCCAGTCTTACCTGCTTTCTTCTATCTTGGTGAGTCCTGAGGGTTGACCTGGGAAGTACTGTGAAACCGTCTCTGTGTACAAAGGAATGAAAACCATCTTATCAGTGGTGAATCTCAAAACAAGAATGGGAGGCTATGAGGTTCCATTTCTTGGAAGGAAGAACAGGGATGTGATGCATTTGGGTTAATTGTTTTGATTTGCTTTGGCTTGGCCAGGACACTTGAACAGGTGTTTCAGGCCTTGCCACACTTTCCACCTTTATACCAGCAACACTAGGGCTGTTTTCTTTCCTCCCTTCCTCCTCCTCTATCCACTTAAAACTCATTAATCATTTATTTATTTGCTTATTCAGGTGTGTGTGTGTGTGTGTGTGTGTGTGTGTGTGTGTGTGTTCTTGTGTACCGTGGAGGTTAGAGGGTATCTTATTTCCTTCCATCATGTTATGTCTTGGGGAATCAAACTCAGGCCATCCATTTTGGTGGCAAGCATCCTTACTTATTGAGTCACCTCATTGGCCCTCTTTTTTTCTTTCCTCTTCATAGCTTTCTTTTCTTTCTTCTTGCCTTTTAAAACTTTACAACTCTTTTCTTTTTCACTTGCTTCTTTTCTCCCCCTCTTCTTTCTCATTCTGTTTTTTCCTCTTTATTTCACATTTATTTGTTCCCATGTGGGCTTGATAACATTTGGGCTAGTTCACAATTCTAATCTGTCTATATGTGCTTTGATAGCAGAGCACATTAGAATCTTTGCCAAATGACACACGGTGGAGCATGTGTTTTTCTTGCCCACTCTTTACCACGCTGGTACTTTCAGGTTGCATCATTACTTCCTTATTTTATTAGAAGAACTTCATGACCTAAAGAGGTAGAGTAGACAGAGGACTGTTGAGTTCTTGGGAATAAGAGGAATCCTCTGAATACAAGCAATCTGTCACTCACTCTTTAATACACTTATTCAATGCTTATTATGGGTTAGACATTATTCTGTGATGCCTTCTCCTTCCCTCTTTGTTTTTTTTAAAAATATAACTCAATTAATGCCCAATAGCTGAATGAGGCAGGGACAGTAATTGACCTCACTTTATAAGTAAATAAACTAAAACTTCAGAAGGTTAATAAGCACTTTGTGACATAGCAGGGATTCAAATATAAACCAAGGAGTTTTGCTGCTATCTCTACATTTATTTTTCCAACATGAAAGACCAATTTGATGGTTTATTCTGCTTATGAAAATAATTTATATGTTTTATAACAATTTAAATATCATGCATGTGACTCTGTTTCTGGACTTTGCTCAGTCACAGGTCTTTCTTTCCTTATACTCATGCCACACTCTTATTTTAAAATTTAATTTATCTCTATCTCCACACTTTAAAATGCTTATATTCTTCCTTTTGTATGTGGGAGGAGAGACCTGTCTGTTCTTTTTTTCATTGTCATAAAAGGTAAATATATTTACAGTGAAAGAAAATGATGTTTTGATAAATGTCCACATATAAAATAGCTAACTTAAGCTAATTAACATGCATTGCATATATGCTAATTTTTGTTTTTAGGATATCTATTATTTTGTTTTTACATCCCAACCAAAGTTTCCCCTTCCTCTTCTCCTCCTAATTCCTCCCCCAACTCCTCTTTCTCTCCCCCATCTACTCCTCTTCCTCTGTTTCTCTTCAGATATGGGTGGACCTCCCATGGATATCAGTCAGCCATGGTATACCAAGTTGCAGTGAGACTAGTTACCTCCTCTTCTACTAAGGCTGAATGAGGCAATTTGGTTGGAGGAATGGGTGCCAAAAGCAGGCTACAGAGTCAGAGACAGCCTCTGCTACCCCTGTTAGAAGTCTTACAAGAAGATCGCATATATTCTAATTTCTAAAATGATGAGAACATTAAAAAAATTCAGAATAAAATACTATGTGTTGCTATCTCTCAGCACTGAAAATACCTGTTGCAGAGTCCATGCTGGCATTTGGCTGTTCTCATCCTGCTCTCTACCCTAACCTTCTCCAGCTTATTAACTTGCTCCCAGGTTCTCATCCCTATATAACCCTTCCATTTCAGCCCCGTGCCCTGTTGGTGATCTCTTGGTTTCTTCTCTCATCCTCTCTCTGGTCTGTCCCTTTCAACACACAGTCTCTTTTCTCACAGCCCAGTTCATTTTACTGGTCATGTTCAGTCTACTACTTTCCTCTCCCTGCTCTGGAAGCTTCCAGATGGTTTGGGCTGTACTCTCTCCCTCACATCTACAATAAAAACCTTCCTCTTAACCATAAAATATGTTATTAATAACAAACGAACCATACACAGAGAGCATGTGGCAGCACACACAAGACCTGACAGGGTCAAGCCAGGCAGAGTCCCACTCCAATCAAGAAGTTATTTATAAGTGATGTCCACTGACAAAGGGAAAATCAGTTTTCTCTAATGGAGTGTTTACTGGGTACATCATACTCCATATTTCAGGGTAGGTTCATGCTCTGGAGTAAATATGAACCCCATGTTTTGTGGGCTTTTGTTTTGGTATTATTTTTGACTAATTGCTTTTTGTTTGTTTGTTTGACTTTTTTTTTTAAAAAGCAAGACAGAACATAAAGTTGAGAGCACAGGGAGGTGAGGAGGATTTTGGAGGAATTAGTGGAGGGCAAACATGATCAAAATATACTGTATGAAAATTATTTTATTATAAAAAGTTACAGTCCCCTAACACACACACACACACACACACACACACACACACACACACACACACACACAGAGAGAGAGAGAGAGAGAGAGAGAGAGAGAGAGAGAAAGAGAGAGAGAAAGAGAGAGAGAAATTAACCAGACACACAGACTACGCAACTCAATGAACTTCTGTATAGTTAGTGTAGACATTCAGAACAGAAGCTGTGGAACTCAACATTGGATTTTACACTTTCACAATCAAATACATTTTTATGCTCTTGTCTTCGTTAGGTTAGGGTTTTATTTCTGTGAAGAGACACCATGACCAGGGCTACTCTTATAAAGGAAAGCATTTAACTGGGGGGGCTTACAGTTCAGAGACTTAGTCCATTATCATCATGGCAGGAAGCGTGGTGGTGTCCAGGCAGACATGAGAGTTCTACATCTGGATCCTCAGGCAGCAGAAAGAGAATGCCACAGTGGGTGTGGCTTGAGCATCTGAAACTTTACAGCCCACTCCCAGTGACACAGTTCTTCCAAAAAAGGCCACACTTTTTAATAGTGTCTCTCCCTATGGGCTTATGGGAGTCAGTTTTACTTAAACATCACATCATTTATCGATCACCCAAAACAAAAAAATCCATGACAGAATTAGAACTGGAAAAACAACAGACTTTACATCCTCTTTCCTGACTCATATCCATCAGCTGCATCCAGTTCTTCCTCATTCCCCGATATTCAGCCTTTCTCCCTCTCTTTTCTTCATGTTATATTGTACCCACATATATATTTGTTTACACATACACATATATTATTGATTAAATGCCTCATACCTTGTATTCTAAGTCATCCATTTTCCTGTAAATGTTTTAATTACATTTTTCTTTAGAGTGGAATAATATTCCATGAAATATTGTTGTTATTGTAGTCACTACCCTGTTCAATATAGCTCTTGAATTTGTCTGTCTGACCGAAATTTCTCCTCCTCTGATTACAATCTTCCCCAATCCCTACCCCATCACTTATAACCACCATTCCATTTTCTTTGCTTTTATGAGTTTCCAAGTGCATCTTCTTTCCTGCTAAACTCTTCTGTTAGCATTTGGATCTGTTTACTACTAGATGTGAGGTCATGGGTGAGATACTGTAGGCTGATTACAAAACAGAACTGGACGATGGTGGCTGTGAATCTAGACATCCAAATCTCCGTCTTCATCAAGGAAGTCAACATTTGTTTACAGTATGTGTAGAGTTAAATTTTTTACAGATATGAAAATATGGAAAGGAAAAGCTAAAGGAGCCAAGAGCATGTGTATTGGGGGAATGATGGGATGAGTCTAGACAGGATGGGGAGAAATCCTTGTTTTGACTTAAAATATATTTTAAGATTTATTTTTTTTACTTTTCATGTATGTATATTTATCCATATGTATATATGTGCACTCATGGAAGCCAAGAGAGGGTCTTGGATCCCCTGGACTTAAGTGAGCCACTACACAGTGGTGCTGAGATCCAGTCCTAGCCGCCTTGAAAGAGCAGCAAGTGCTCTTAACCTCTAAGCAATTTCTCCAGCTCCTTGACTCAATTTTTTCTATTTTAAAAATATACATAATTATGTTAAGTGAAATAACTCAGACAAAGGAGTGAAAATACGGTGTTGTGGGATATTTGTACACTGTGTGAAGATGCATTGCTGTGATTTGTGTAATAAAGAGTTGAATGGCCAATAGCTAGGACAGAGAAGATAGGTGGAATTTTCTGGGAGAGAGAGGAAGAGGAGGAGGAATCTAGGTGCATGGATTATGACAGCAAGATGCCAGGGACAGGGAGATACTGAAGAGGTTGGACATATGGAACAGAATAGAGGTGCCCAAGCCATGTGAAAGAACATAGGTTAATAAAAGCAGGTTAATTTAAGTTAGAAGAGCTAGTGGGACAATCCTAAACTAATGGCCAAGCATTTCTAATTAATAATAAATCTCTGTGCCATTATTTTTAGACTGGTGGTCTGATGAAAAAGTATTGCTACAATATAGTGTTTTCTCTCATATGGGGAACTTAGATTTAAAATTTTGTGTGTGGTGTGTGTGTGTGTGAGTGTGTCTGTGTGTGATTGTTATGTAGGTTTTAAAACCAGAGAGAGGATCATGAGAGAGTAGAAAGAGATCTTAAGGGATATGGAAAATAGAGAGGACAATGGAATTTACATATTAAGAAACTGGGAGGGGGCGGGACTGAAGGAAGGACTGTGGGAGGGAAGTGAATGAGTGAAGAGAACATAGTATATGTATGAAGATGCCACACTGTAACCCATTATTTTGTATGCTAGACTAAAATTAATTAAATATTGTTAGTGACATTTAGTACTTTGATGTTACGGTGCAGTCAGCACTTCTGTCTTCTTCCATGACATTCTTTCCACTCCTGAAGAAACTCTGTACTTATTGAACACAGACCCACTTCTATCATCCAACATAAGCGCTGGTCTGCACCTATTGCTTTACCTTTTCTGAACACTTCACATAAGTGATACCACAAACATTTCTTCAACTTTCAAAGAATGAGTTACTTGAGAATTTTGTGTGATGTGTTTAGATCACATTCACTTCCCCCACAATCCACTACTTTTCACTATTCACACAACTTTTCTTTGTGTGTGTATTTTTAAATTTAAACCTTTCAAGTAATTTGTGCTGTCCATGTAGTCTTGGGTATGTGGGCTTCCACTGGATAACAATCAAATTATGGGGCGGTAGCACACCCTTAAAGAAAACGAACTCTCTCTCCTAGTAGCTATCAAATGCCAGTAACTCACTGTTGGGACTTCATGCTTACCATTCCTCTTCTGACTGGGATTTGGTTTTGAGAGCCAGCCTTTTCCAGCTGAATGATATGCAGCAGTGTCTTCTGAAATAGTAAAGCAATTATGATCTGGGTATGTAGGTCAGTTGAGTGACTTGCCTAGCATCGGTGAAAGCCTGGGTTCTATCCCCAGTACCACACAAAACCAGGTGTGGTGATGTATGAATGCCTACAATCCCAGCACTCAAGGGATGGAGGCAGTGGGATCAGAAATTCAAGACCATCCTCTGTTACAGACCAAGTCTGAGGCCAGCCTAGGTTGCGTACATCAACACAAATGTAAGATAATTATGATACAAGTTAATGCACATGCATAGCTCTCCACTCAAGGGAGTCTCTAGTCTCTGGTTCTTTTCCTCAGGGCTGTGTGTACTGCAAGCGATGCAAGCCCAGAGTGGTGAGTACATCTTCTCAGTACCCCCATGCCTCCCCAGGATTCAACTAGTAAGAGATCTTGCATGCTAACCTAGAGGCTGTGCTTCCCTCCCAAGGCCCATTCCCTAAGCCTTCACTCTGGGCTGAGCCCAGTTCCCTGGTGGCCCTGGGGCAGTCAGTCACTCTGAGGTGCCAGGGGCCTCCGGTTGTGGATTTATATCGCCTGGAGAAACTGAAATCTCAGAAATATGAAGATAAAAACTTTCTCTTCATTAAGAGCATGCAAACAAGCCACGCGGGACACTACCGCTGCTCATATCAGAATGGGAGTCACTGGTCTCCCCCAAGCGACCACCTTGAGCTAATAGCTACAGGTAACTGGACGGAGGGATGGGGTGTTGTTGGTCTTGTGGCTCCAGTTCTGGACTTGGAGAGGGTGAAAGTGAGGCATGTGGGTGCTAGATGGTAAACCCCTAAATTCCCTGGTGCTAGTATTAGAATGAGACAAATGAGTCTTGGTCTTGCTTAGTATATTCAGTGAATATAGGGGTGGTGTCTCCAGAATAGTCATCAGTCAAGACAAGTTACATTTTAATGTGATGCAAGAAATTAAAAAATCATTCTTGGATAATTTCATGCCTGCAAACAATGAACTATAAATCATGCCCATCGCCTACGCCACACCTCCAACACTATGCCATTTCTCCTAACACATCCCTTCCCAACTTCATGTTTTCCCCTTAAAATAAAACTCACTAAGTCTAGTTAGAGCTGCCTATCTTTGCATGGGTATGGGGACATCCCTGGAAAAGATTTTCCTTCTCCCAACAGCTGTCAGCTGCTGGCAACTCCTCAGTTAGGAAGGCCCTCTCCCTTCCAATATTAAAATACTGGCTTGATCTTGTATAGGTGTTCATAGCTGCTGTGAGATCATATTTTATAAACCTTCTCCATGCTTTTAATTTTTTCCTGCTCCCTCTTCCTCAGTGTTTCTTGAGTCTTAGAAGGCATGTGCATTAAGTCTTCTGTGTAGGCCTGAGCTAGATTGTCATGTAGTCTCAGAGTTTTTAAATTTTATTTTTAAAATAATCTTTTTTTATTTTACATACCAATTCCAGTTCCCTCCCTCTCCTCCTCCTGCTCCCTTTACCTTACCTTTTCCCATTCCCCATCTTCTCCTCAGAGAGGGTGAGGCAACCCATGGGGAACCAACAAAGTCTGTCACATCACTTGAGGCAGAATGAAGCTGGCCCCACCCCCGAATCTAGGCTGAGCAAGCCATTCCTCCAAAGGGAATGGGCTCCAAAAAGCCAGTTCGTGCACTAGGGATAGATACTGGTTCCATTGCCAGTGGCCCTGCAAACTGCCCAAGAGAGGATGCCTTAACTGCTCTTCCCCTGTAATCAGACTGAGAACTAACCTAATTATCATCATAGAATCTTCATCCAGTGACTAATGGAAGCAGGTGCAGAGATCCTCAGCTAAGCACTGGGCCCAGTTCTTGTATTTGCAGAGTTTTAAGCACCTACAGAGTCATCTCCTCCGCGTGCTTCCTGTCTTTAACACAGTTTTCTCTCTTTCCAGGCGTTTATGATAAGCCCTCCCTCTCAGCTTATCCGAGCTCAGCAGTTCCTCCAGGCAGGAACGTGACTCTGCAGTGCCGGACTAAACATGGTTTTGATCAATTTGCTCTACACAAAGACCAGGATACTGGGCTTTATAAGAAACATGAGGGATGGTACCACCGGGCTAATTTCTCCATCATCAAAGTGACTGCTGCTCACAGCAGGATTTACCGGTGTTACAGCTTTTCCAGCTCATCTCCATACTTGTGGTCAGCCCCCAGTGACCCCCTGGTGCTTGTGGTTACAGGTAAGTGGGTCCACATCCAAGATTCTTTTCTCTAGTATTTGTAAACCCTTGTGGAAATTTCGAGGGAGTCAGAGGTTTGGCCAACGAGAGCCTCCAGCTCCAGTCAGCTTTGGAGGTGTATGAGTGTCTTACAGCTGCTGTAACAAATCACAATAGACTCTCGCTGGCTCACTGTAATGTAAATTTATTGCTTTAGCATTGTGAAGGTCTCAAGTCTGTGAAAGGTCTCACCGTTATAAAATAAAGCTGTCAATTATTGCAGTTACAGTTGCATCAGGTAAGGTATATAACCGATCAGAGGAAAGTATACAGAAAAAAAAAATTCGCCTCTCAAGTGATTAAGTATTAATAAACATGAAAGAGTGCTTCACATCACTAGCACAGGAGAAGTGCATATTAAGATTTGTAAGATTCCAGCTCACCCCAATCAAAATGGTGGTCATCAATAAAATGAACAACAAATCCTGATGAGAATGTGGACAAAAGTGGACTGTTATCAATGGTCACTGGGAATGGAAAAATAGTCCAATCACTTATGGAAACCAATATGGAGTTCCCTTAGCAAATTAAACATGTGTAACTCAGCTAAACATGTATCACAGAGACACTTGTAAACCATTGCTTAATTGTAACCCTGTTTGCAACAGTGAAGTTATGCAACCAACTTACATGGCCATCAACAGAGGGATGAATAAAGATATTAAATGTAGTTCTTAAACAAAGGGATAATTTTTAGCCATTAGGACAGATGTCACATGTTTTCTCTCGTTTGTGAGTCATAGATTTTATATAGATACATAAGGTATGGTTTCCTAGTCTGGTAGGAGTCTGTGGAGAGCTTCAGATGTGTAAATCTCCACCAGTGTACCCTACGAAATTGTACTAGGATATACTTACTTAAGCCTGACCATATCTTCAGAATGGTAGAGTTACTGAATCTCTGCTTACTTGTTACTGAAAGTGACAGTTATCTGCAGCTATGGTATATATAGTGTGTGCGGTCATATGCTCACAAGTGAGCCAGTACTCAATACAGCTCAACTGCTCACACTCATAAACCTGCCTATCCTGGGATGATGGGAGAGAGGATGAGGAACTATTGATTGGAGGATCATATGCATATGAGGCCTTTGTGAAAGGTATTGTTTCCCTGATTTCTTCCTCAGACAATTTGACATTTGTATATAAGAAAGCTACTGATTTTTTTAGTTACTCTTGTATTCAGCCACATTGCTGAAAATATTTATCAGTTGTAGCAGTTATATGGTGGAATATTAGGGTCATGTATGTGTGCTATTATATCATTTGCAAATAAAGATACTCTGACATAAAAAAAATCTTATTTCTACATACAACAGGAAAGCTGAAGCAAAACTATCTAGGATAGTGGTTCTCAACCTGTGCGTTATGATTCCTTATGGAGGTTGAATGACTCTTCCACAAGGGTTGCTAAGACCACCATAAAACCTACATATTCACATTACAATTCAGAACAGTAGCAAAATCACAGTTATGAAGTAGCCCTGAAAATAATGGTTGGGGGTCACCACAACTTGAGGAACTGTATTAAAGGGTAACAGCGTTAGGAAGTTTGAGAACCACTAATCTAGGAGAAGCAAGGGGACTAATGGGAGGGATGAGAAAGTGGAGGGAAACAGGGCAGGGAAAATCTGTTCAAAGTACATTATATACATACATATATACATACATATGCATTTTCATATAAATACACAAAATAGCCTTACATAATCTAGTATAATAAAGAAACAGTTAAGGACAACAAAAAGTTACAAAGGTCTATGGTATATAAAAAAATCAAATTAAATAAAATGAAATGCATTGTTGAAATTTTAGTGGCAAAATCCCTTTTGTTTATTTTTTGGGAGCACTTTGGGTCTGTTAGCCTTAAATTGATTTGGACTAGAGGGTCACTCTTCGGTGACAAAAACCTGAGAGAGAGGACTGAAGATAAAGAAGACAAAGTTTGGGACTGGAAGTCTTGTACATGCTGTGACTTATGCCAAGCAAACCTTTTAGGAAACCCACTTAGATAGTATTGTCAGGGGAGAAATGGGACAGAGAGAGCAGAAGCTATCATGCAATGAGACGAAGTCAGCATGAGGCTGACCAAGCAGTGTTACACAAGGGGAACACAGTGTCTCAAGATCATGCCAGAGCGAGACACAGTGGCCTTATGACTGACAACTCCAGTTGTCTCAGTGGGGAAAGGCCAAGTTTCTAGGAACCAGAACTTTGACTCTTTTAAGGTCCTGGCCCCCAGTCCGGAGCAAGGACAAAGAACTAAGTTACTTTTGTCCTTTCTTCAGGGCATCTGAAAAAGCCCTGGGTCCATACCGCTCTCTACATTTTGTCATTGTGTCAAGTTGCCTTGAAAAAATTTACAGGAAGAACGATTTATTTTTGTTTATAGTGTCAGAGGCTTCACCCGTATTCCTGGGGTCATGGTAAGGCAGAAGAACTTCAAGGCAGAAAGATGTAGTAGAGCAAGGTCATTGAGCTTGTGGCAGCCAGGAAGGAAAATGATCATAGGAAGGGACTAAGTCAAGCTATACTCTCCAAAGACATACACCCTCAGTGACTGACTTCACATTCTCCCACAACCCAATAGCACATTCAGAATTTGAATCCATCGGTGGATTAATCCATTGGTTGTGTTGGATCTTGATGTGGGATACTCCTCTGTATGCTGTGAATATCTGTTACTCTCGTTGGTTGATAAATAAAGCTGCTTTGGCCTATGGCAAGACAGGACAGAGCTAGGTGGGAAATCCAAGCAGAGAGGCAGTGAGAAGAAGGGCGGAGTCTGAGAGACACCAGCCTCTAAGGAAGCACGACATGTAAAATATAAGGTAGCAAGCCACCAACCATGTGGCCAAACATAGATAAAAATTATGGGTTAATTTAAGTTGTAAGAGCTAGTTAATAACAAGTCTGAACTAATAGGCCTAATAGTTTGTAATTAATATTAAGTCTCAGGAACTGGCAGGTGGGAGAGAAACCTCCAGTTATAGGATGCTTTTTGATGTAATTGTCTCTGGAAATATTCTTATAGACACACCTAGAGGTGTGTGTTCCTAGTTTCTTAGGTATCTCTCAATCTAGATAAGTTGATAGACAAAAGGTATCATACACTTATTTTAAAAATATAATAGTATAAGTAAAATCTGAAGGTTTTTCCTCTTTGATTCTCCAAACCACAACTAATCATTAGATTTTCTTCTTTAGCAATTTTATTGTCTATGGAAATAATAAGCCTGAGTTAAAATGATTAGTTCATCAAGAAAAAGAGATATAAATATATCAAAGATTATGAGACAGATTACCGGGGTGACTCATATGACATAGGGTCTTCTAGACATGATATGGAAGCTGCACCAATGAAATTTCGACAATATGGTTGCCCAATCAAAACAAGCATAATGGCAGCTCCAGCTGACATTGCCAACTGAGTGAAATCTCACAAGGGCCCCCCACTAGATGACAAGGTATAGGTAATCAGTGGCTCCTAAGAGAGGGAGAATTTGTCTTCTCTGGGGACAAACCTCATGATAGGTTATTCAATATCAAGTAGACAGCCCTAAACACATATGTACATATGAGCAACATTAAAGGTACTCATTAGGTTATATGTTATATACACACAATAATGAATAAGAGGTCATGAATTTGAGATGGAGTAGGGGAGACATGAGGTGAGCTGGAGAGAGGAAAGTGTGGGGTGGTGGAAATGATATAAACACAGAACCTATGTATGAAATTCTCAAAAAATTAAACAAGAAATCAGTGAACATGTAACAACATAGCAAGAATTATTTTACATTCATAAATTGCTGAGTTTTTACTTTTGCTTTAATTTTTATAGTACTTTATTTTTTTCTCCTTTAAAAATTTTATGTTTTAAACTCATGACCTTATGTATCCCAGACTGGTTTGAACTTACTATGTAGTGGAGGATAACCTTGAACTTCTGAGTACTGAGTTACAGGCTTCAGCTACTATGTCTGGTTTATGTGGTGCTGGGGATGGAGCACAGGGCTTTGTGCATAAGAAAGCTATTACAACTGCATTGCACCTTCAGTCTACATTTTGACTTTTCAGTTTTGATTTTTCAATAGAATAAAGACAAGAAAGCATTATTAAAGAACTGAAATCCTGAATAGTTATAGATTATAAATATGATTTAAAATAATGAATGTATCTCTGCTAGGGCACATACTCAGCTTGCACAAGGCACCCAGGTTCACTTCCAAGTACAAAAAATGTATGAATGAATAAATACAATGAATAAATAATCAGAATACTGTATATTGTTTTAAGTGTTTACCTCCTCTCTCATTGTATACTCCCTCTCACCTGTGATTCCTAATGCATTTCCAAAACTTTACCCATGGTTCATGTCTCCACATATAATTCCTGGGGACAAGTACCAGTCAAGTGACAAATGACAAGTGAGGGGATAGGTGACAAGGGTCCATGGAAGACAAAGGTAAGAAAGCAACTGTACAATGTACCAGGGGAACAGGCCAAGCATGCTTTTCAATCAGTCAGCAGTGGGAGCTTCTTCATACTCATTTGCTACATGAGAAAAATCAAGTCACAGAAATGTCTCATTGTTTGTTCAGAATTCACAGTTAACAAACTTACAGGGTACTGGCTTCTCTTCTTTTCTGATTTCTCAGGACCCTCTGCCACTCCCAGTCAGGTACTCACAGAGGTACCATCTCCCACAACAGGTGAGTTCAGTAGTTTCTGGTGTCTGGGGAAAGAAGTTCTATAATGAAGGTGCCCTCAAATGTAGTCCCTATCCTAAGAGTTTTATACTCACAGGCTTAATAGGTTCAGGAAACATTTTTGTTTAAACAATAGGCAATCTCATGTACAGATAATGGACTTAGGATAGAAGGAACATCCTGAACAAGAGGTTAATAACTGGTTCTTTTATGACACCTGTGTAAAACAGAGATACAATTCACATTCCATGTGCCCACTAAGATGGTTATAACTATACAAACACAAACTAACTAGATAATCAACCTATCAACCAACCAATCAACCAACAAGCTAAACAGTCAACAACCAACCAAACAAACAACTAGCCAATCAACCAACAAACAAACCAGATAAGCAATCAAGACACGTGTTGGAAAGATTTAGATACTTCTACAGTACTGGGGGGTTGTCAAATAAAGCATATAATTTGAAAATTAGTCTTATGGTCTCTCAGAAGTTAAATAGAATTATTCCGTGACCCAGTGATTCTGAAATTCTTGGAGTGGTACTAAAAAATTTGAAAACTTATTTGTTTTAGTTACTTTTTTTATTGCCATGATAAGACAGCATGACCAAGGTAACTTATAGAAGAGTTAACTTGGCCTTACAGTTTCAAGGGGTGAGTGAGTCTATGACCAACATTGTAGGGGAGCATGACAATAGATAGGCAGGCATGGCGCTGCAACTGTAACTGAGAGCTTGCATTTTGATCTACAGGTATGTGGGAGACAGGAGAGAGAGAGAGAGAGAGAGAGAGAGAGAGAGAGAGAGAGAGAGAAACTGAAAACAGGTGTGGGCTTTTGAAACCTTAAAGCCCACCCCAAGTGATATACCTCCAGCCACGAGGCCATCCATACCTGTTAAACTTTCCCAGTTTCTTCAAATGGGGAACAGACATTCAAATATATGAATCTGTGGAGGGAGCATTATCATTCAAACAGTTTCACTTATGTTCACACAAATACTTACACTTGAATGCTTATAACTGCATCATTTATACCAGCCCCAAAGTGGAAGCAAGTTAAATGCCTATCTGTTGAGATATGGTCCAATTCTATGAAGTCTTTGGGTACTAACCATGGCTGTGTAATCTCAGTAGTAGGGCAATGCATGTTAGTTGAGAGAACTTTAGAGAACTCAGTTATCTCAGAAGGGGTCTGGAGAGTGGGACCACTTGGGATGAACGGTTATTATTCTATTTCCTTATAACATTCCTGCTTATAACTCTTAGAATCCCCCAGGAGATCTTCTTCCTTACCCTCAACCAAGGTATCTACAGCTGGTAAGTAGCCTTTTAAAGCTTAATGCAAAAGGAGCATGAGGATGGGTTTTTGTTTCCCATCAGCAGAATCTATAGACATTTTTCTTTGATACAGAATTTTATGTAGCTAGTCTAACCTTAAGCCCACTATCTGGCAGAGGATGACCTTGAACTTCTGTTTCTCTTGCTTTCAACCCTTGAGTCCTGGGAGTAAAGGCATGTGCCATTACGCTCCTTTTATGTGGTGCTGCTTATGAAACTCAGGGCTTAATGTGTGCTAGGCAAAGCACTTAACCAGCTGAGTTATCTTTCTGACCCCCATATATATTTTTAATTTTTTTGTGGCAGAGGCCCACTATGTAACCCTGACTGGCTTCAAAGTTGCTATGTGGACCAGGGTGGCCCCAGATTCACAGATTTATAGGCCTCTGCTTCTTAAGAGCTGGGATTAAAGATGAGCACTACCACACCAGGCCCAAATTTATATTTTATATACACATTATATATAGCCTAAAGGCGATTTTACATAATAATTTTTTATCTAAAAATTGTATATACAGTATGTTATGATCATGCTCTTTTGTCTCCCCAATTCCTCTGGGTTTTGATTGCAATCTGTCCTATGAAGATTAGGTATGTATTTTCCTCACTTGTGGCATCATGTCAGTGCTTGGAAATGTAAAATTTTGTAGTATTTCATATTTTGGATTTCCAGATTAGCAATGCTGAACCTGTACTATTATGTATAAGTCAACCCATTGTATTATAGTATCGATTCCACTTGATAGATGATAAAATCGACTCACAGATGTTGAGATACTTTTTAGAGGTTCCTTATATAATAAGTGCTGTACAGGGAAGTCAAATCTGGGCAGCCTGACTCTATGGTTTATGTTCTTGTTAAATGTCACGAACTTCTGCCTCACAAGCACATGAGAACACATGTTTATATCCAACAGCGGCAATGCTTCCACTTCTTTATACTCGGCCCTTTCTTCATTCTTGAAGAAGTCTATGAATATCATTGTCTCTCCAGAGGAGTAAAGTCCTCCATTTGGTAAATGGTCCTGTCTATACCCACTTCACTTGTATCCCATCTCTTCATTAAGAGATTTTCCCTGTACATGGAATATATAGATCTATTATCTCAGGACCTGGTGCATAAAACATCAAGGGAAGTAGAATATTAGCATATAGAATTCAGAAATGATCAAGAAGGTTAAATGGGAAGGGTGAAAATTTCCCAATAGTCAAGTAAGGACATTCCCACTCTCCCTATTCTCTTAGAGTTTTCTTCTCTTATAAGCCATCAATATAACCAGGTGTTGATTGTCTGAGGAGGGATCATACTGGGATTCTAGGAAGGGATTGGTGAGAACATCACTCGATAGAGAACTGGGCTTCTTCACTTCTGACTCTTGATGGGGGATGGGGACCCTATGGGAATGTGATGAACATCATAGCTGATGGAAGATAATAGAATCTCAATCAGGGATATGGAGTTAGTCCTGGAGAAGAGCCTTTTTAGTCATTTTCAACTTTCTTCTTTTGTTTAGGGTTTTCCCACCAGCACTATGGCAATGGGAATCTGGTTCGGATATGCCTTGGTGCCATGATTATAATATTCCTGGTGGGGCTTCTGGCAGAGGATTGGCACAGTCGGAGGAAACGTCCATCACCCAGAATCAGAGCTGTGCAAAGACCACTCCCACCCCTCCCACTGGCCTAGAAATAACATGACTTGTAGGATAGAGGTTGATCAGATGTTCATAACCATGGACACCACCATTAGAACCTCAGACATGGATATAATCAAAAATGGGGAGGTTTTATAAAGAATGTGTATGGAGAATGACTCAGTTAACAAGGTAGGATGGAGGGCCATACACCTTCTTGGTGTTCAATCAAACAGTGGAGCCACTGTCTTCTTTGCTCTAAGAATTTGTTATGTTATGGGAAAATCTAGGGAAGGTCTATCTTTTTTATATCTTGCACATTGTAGACCTCATAATAGACCTTTGTAATGGCATTTCTTCAACTTTATCTAACATGGATTCTAGATTGATTTATCTATCTTATACAACTGACCTATTCCATTCTTTATATATCCAGTGTTCTCTGGCAGTCTGTGTTCCTCTATGGTAGTCCATAGATTTAGTCTTTACCCTAATCTCATCTTAAGTCACAGTTGGATAAATCTTTTACGTTTTAGAATGGAAACCTGTTCTCCAGAAAGTAGGCTAGCGTGTTACTTTTTGTTAATATATAATAATCTATATGATTTCCTTTTGTTTATAGCAGATATATTTCAAGACTCTAAATGGATACCTAAAAGTACCAAATCCTGTACACATCATGTTTTTCCTATATATATTACTACATTCTGAGACCATTAAATAAGAGGTGTGTGATCAGGATCTCTGTGACAGTTGATCTGTTAAACAATATGGCTATGACATCCTCATGAGAAGCCAGGCAGTGAATACACCTCCCAAAGTTTGATTAATCCTGGAATGTGATGGTGTAGGATGGCATGCGAGTGTATCCTGCTACACACAATTTAAATAGTATAATTTGTCTATTTTTAGAATTTCTCCACTTCATATTTTCAACCTAAGATTGATCACATGTGATGGAAACCATATAAATCAAAACCATACATCAGGAGACACTCCCTCCAACAACAACAACATCAACAAAATAAACCATGTCTGTGGCTCCCTTCATATTAGAAAGAGTCCTAACCTTATCTGAAAGGCTAGAATAGTTAAATCCAGAGAGACTGGAAATAATTATTTCTGGAAGCTGAGAAGGGTAGTGGAAGGGAATGCTGGGATTACTACTTGATGAGTTTAGGACAATAAATTTTTAGTGTCATTGTTTTGGAATTAGAGGTGATGGTTTCCCCACATTGTCAGTGTGCTAAGAGCCATGAAATGGTTCACTTAAAAAAATCCAGTAAGGCAGCTGAGCAAAGTAGGGAGCGTCTATAATCCTAGTACTTGAGAGGAGAGGTAGGAAGCCCTTGAGTTCAAGACCAGCTTGCACTAATATGAGTCCCTGTCTCTGAAACAGATGCAGTCTTGTGACCTCAGACAACCATAATGCACTGCGTATTAAAAGAGCACAGAATGATTTTAAATGTTGTCAACATAAAAGATATATTATTAAATGTACATATGTATACCTCATAAAATGTGAATTTTTCCTTTATGTTTGTCAAATGTTGATTTAGAAAGAGAATAATTTATATTATATGACTTATACACCCAAAAATATTAAAAGAAAAATCTTTCTCTTTGTGGGGTTATATTGGAAATGTTTACCACTTGGCTGTTATCAAGTCCTGACATCCAGCTAATAGCTGGTACCTTCCTGGAAACTGAAACTTTTATTTTGTTGGTATTTTCAGTCTTCAGATTATAGTATGTGTCACTTAGGGACAATGGAAAGGGTGTCTGGCTAGTTATTAGTGGATATATATATATATACACAAATATATATGGAATCTTTTGGGCTTGTTTGCATATTTATTTTGTGGTGTTTTAGTTGAAACTTGAGACATCCCACATGTTAGGCACATATTCTACCACTGAATTAGGGCATTCTGCTCTAGAATTGTTAAAGTAGGTTGATCTATATATTTATAATAAGATAAATTGATGAAAACACATCTTTTATGGGGTATATTCTGTTAGTAAGGAGAACTAAGGACAGAAAAATCCTTAAAAATTAGCTTCTAAAAGAGTTTTGAAAAAAGATTTGTTTTAAAAACAAGTGTTGTGTCTCATAGATGCCCAAAGTTAGGGCTTCAGTCATTCCCACCTGAGTAGCCAGTCCCTCCACCTAGAGGAAGGAAGTTGACCTGGCTCAAGCAGCTTCTGAGGGCCATGTTTGGGTCCGTGGTCCAGCTACAGCTGGGGTCTGTGTGGCTGTCTGTGTCACATCAGGAGGTCTTAGGAACCATGCAAGATGAAATCAGAGGGCCATTTTGACATGGCTATGCCCCTTGCAGGCTCTGGGAAGGCTGGACTTGCCTCTCACTGGACACTACAGCAATAGAGTTGGTCCCTGCATGCTGGAGATATGGCCCCAGCCATCATCACAGCAAGGATGAACCAACCCTGAGGGCATGTATATAGGGGAACTGTCTCTACCCCCTCTCCTAAGGCAGGTTGCCCCAGGGGTCTAGATTGACCATGTTGGCTACCATCGAAGTCCACAGCTGGGCTGTGGGTTGACCCACCTTAGCATCTATACCATCTAGTACCTAGTACCTGCTGGAGCTGATGAAGGAATTGACTGCTTCTGTGGAATAATACCCACAAGATCTCCAAGACTCATGGCTGTAGCAGGATATCCCAGAGGAGTTCCCTTGAAGACCAAGTGATGATGGTGTACTTGTGTGGAACAATTGTATTCTTTCAATTATATTTTAAATAAACTCTGATTGGTCAGTAGCCGGGTAGGAAGTATAGGCAGGACAACCAGACAGGAAATAGAGGTGGGTCAATGAGAATTCTGGGCAGAGGAAAGCTTGGTGTGCAGTTGTGAGCTGGCTACAGAAGAAGCAAGATGTGACTGTCTTGCTGAAAAAGGTACCAAGCCATGTGGCTAGCATAGACAAGAATAATGGGCTAATATAAGTTATAAGAGTTAATAAGAAGCCTGAGCTAATGGGCCAATCAGTTTATAGTTAATGTAGACCTCTGTTTGATTTCTTTGGGACTTGACTGCAGGAACTGGGTAACAACAGTGTACCAGAAACCAGAGGCCTTGAACCTGACCAGTGACTCTTTGCAATAAACATTTGCCAGTAAAAACTGATGGGACAAAGAGGTATACAGTATGGCACACTGAAACCTCCATTGCTACCAGGAGGAATGGAGAGGTGTTGGAGAAGCAGGAAAGGAAAAGCAAGGAGGTTTTTCTGTTGGTGTGGTTTTGTTTTGTTTTTATTCTTTGATTTGTTTCCTTTGCTAGGGGGCATGACAGGGATGAGGGGAGGATAGAGCAGAACTGGGAAGAGAGCAGAATTGGGGTTCATGATGTGAAGCTTCCAAAGAGTCAATAAAGAAGTTAAAAATGAAAAAAAAATATTTTAGGGGTTTTGGAAAAAATCTTCCTGAATATGGTCTGGCAAAGTTCTTTCTTAGCTGATTCTGATGTTTTAATAAAATATGTACTTAAAGACTTAAGAAAATCAAGTGTGTCTCTTTGTGAGTCTGTGCACATGTGTGCAGTGTCTACAGAGGCCAGAAGAGGGAGTAAGATACTCTGGAGCTAATGTTCATGCAGTTGTGAGCTACCTGATGTCCGTGTTGGGAGCTGAACTTGGGCCTTTTGGAAGAGCAGCACTTGCTCTTAAGTGCTCAGCCACCTCTCTAACCCTCTTTCTAGGACAGACAAAAATCTTAATATTATTTTCCTCAAGGGCAAGGACTTATCAATGGAGAAGAGTTCTACTGCACATGCTCGTTCTTACATCACACACCCACTTGTACTTAAAAAAGATTATATGCCAACTTCAAAGTATCCAAATAACTGTTATGATAACAAGTAAATATTACAATACAACAAAACTGTAGGTAATCTTGAGTGGAACCACTGAGGCTACAGGCATTTAGAGATTAATAGTCAAGTTACCAAATTACAACACAGTAATTCAGCCACTCAGTCTGGGGATCCCATCTTCACAAATAAAAGAATCAGTAAAGAAAGTGAAGAGGAGTTAAAAAGAGATTATTATTACCTCAGGACATCCCAAGACCAAGTTCTCAGCCCAAAAGAGATTTATTTGCCCCAGAGGGACAGATGGCAGGGAATAAGAGACAAAGACAGGAGACAGAGGACAAAAGGAAAGGGGAAGAAAAAAAAAGAGAGGGGTGGGGGTATCTGTTTCCCTGGGATTAATGACTGCCTCTGGATAGAGAGGAGACAGCCGTGGGCCATCAGCAAATGGTGGTTTTTTTTTTAAAGGTATAAGGTGAAACCCTATGTTAAGATGAGGTGTTTAATTGGACATGTGTGTTCTTCTTAAGGTCTTCCTTTTTTACCTAACTTCCCTGGGGCTGAGGACTGTAATCTTGTTATCCTTTGCTTTACATCTATGTTTGTCTTCCTGGGTCTGGGTTACCTCACTTGGGATTTTTTTTTCTAGTTCCATCCATTTGCCTGAAAATTTCAAGAGATCAAGGCAACTCTTGCTAAAGGAAGCATTTAATTAGGAGCTTACTTATAGTCTGAAGGGCTTAGTCCATTATCATTATGACAGAGACGATGGTACTGCAAAGAAAGTTAAGTGTTGGAGTATTACCTGAGATCTTTACATTCTGATCCAGAGAGAGAGAGAGAGAGAGAGAGAGAGAGAGAGAGAGAGAGAGAGAGAGAGAGGAGAGACCCTAGGCTTTATGTGAGCTTTTGAAACCTCAAAGCCCACCCCAATTGACACTTCCTCCAACAAAGCTACCCCTCTTAATCCTTCAAATCCTTTCAAATAGTTTCACTCCCTGGTGACTAGACATTTAAATATATGAATGAGCCTGTGGGGGCCATCCCACCAAGAGTGGTATCAGTAGATCTTGAGATAGATCAATTCTTAGGTTTTTAAGGAAACTCCACACTGATTTCTATAGTGTTTGTACCAGTTTGCATTCACACCGGCAATGAACAAATGTTCCCTTACTCTGCATCCTCACCAGCAATGAACAATTGTCCCCTTCCCCTGCA